GGGGTGAGCACGCCGCCGCGTGCGGGGCCCGGGCGCGCGTGCAGGCGCCGTTGGGTGATGAACCTCGGGGCCACGTGTGTGCTGCGGGCAGGTGCACCGCCAGCGGGGTTTGTGGAGGTATCAAAGCAGTATGCAGGCAACGCCCCCAGCGGCTGCGCCCTGCTCGCCCTCAGCCGCGGCCCCTCGTCGCCACGCCCCTGACGCGACCCGCGCCGGCGCGCCGGCGCCGCCGCGCGCACCTTCACCAGGTGCGGCGGCTGCAGCCGCTGCAGGCAGTCCAGCAGCGACTGCAGCCCGTCCTTGCTGCACATCGTCGCCTTCACCGCCGCGTCCGCGTGCGCGAGCACTAGCAGCAGGCCCGAGCACTTTTCCAGCGCCCAGTCGTTCCTGGCCTGCCCCGGCGCCGCAGACGCCTGCCACACCTCCAGGTTGGCGGCCGCCAGCAGCCGCTGCTGCTGCTGCGCCGCGGCGGCGGCGGTGGACAGCGGCGAGGACGAGGGGCCGTTCTGGTCCGCGCCGCCGTCGTTGCGGCGGGGCGCGGAGGAGGACGACGCGCCGGCGGAGGCGTCGCCGTTGCGCGCCGACTGGCGCAGCTGCAGCTCGTCCGTGCCTGCAGCGGCGCGAGCGTGGGTGTGGGTTTCACACTTTCCAACAGCTGGCTGCGACAGCTGTCGCGCCCATCAACACTCAGGGCAGCAGACCAAGTGCACACACAGCAGCCCCTGTTTTCTCCTCAGCCAGGGCGAGGCTCAGAGGTGTGAGGCTCACCCTCCAACCAGATGCGCCGCGGGCGTCCCCTCACATCAGCCCCCCTCCTCAGCCCCTCACCTGCCAGGCTGCCGCCCAGCCCGACCTCTTTCGTGCTGAGCGCACTCCGCGCGACCCCTCCCAGACCCACTGCGGACGCCGCGCTCGAGTCATACCCCGAGGCGTTGCTGAGCGTGTGCGCGTGCCGCGCCGACAGCGCGCCGCTGCTGCCGCCCCCGCCCGCCTGCTGCTGCTGCTGCTGCTGCCGCTCCGAGCGCGCCTGCAGGCTGACCGCTTGACGGATCACCGCGAATAGGCGCGGTACGAGGCCGGCCTGCGCCAGGAGGCGGCAGGTGTAGTTTATTGGCAGCGCGCTGTGCGCCTCGAGGGCCCGCCAGATGCAGGCCAGGCCGGTGGGCGTCAGGCTGGAGGGGTCCTGCAGGTTGTCCTGCACCATCAGCACCAGGTGCCTGCGATTTATATGAGAATTCGAATTCAAATTGTGGTATATGAGCTGAGTCAAGGCAGGCAAGAAAGCGCAAGACACAGACGCGCCCAAGCCTTTGACAGGCCGGGCCGGGCAACACGCATGATTGCCGGTCAGCAGCGGGGGCTGGCAAGCGCGCGGCCGCGCAGGGGTTAGCAGCAATAGCGTTGCAATGAAGGGGGCCGGACGCAGGCGGCGGCTCACCGCAGGCCGCCGCAGGCAATGAGCATCTGGAGCGTGGTGGCGCCGCTGAAGCAGAGCTGCTGCACAAACCCCGCGGCGCGCGACCGCAGGCGCTCCGCGCCAGGCGGCGCGGGCAGCGCCATGCGGCACATCGCGGGGACGATGCCGACGAGGCAGAGGCTCTCCAGCAGGCGCGTGTCGCCGGCGGTGAACGCGCACACCAGCTCCACGGCTGCGGGGCCAAAGCGAGAATGGGGCAGCAGGAGGGGCGCGTGAAGAGGGATTGAGGTTTCAAAAAAAAGGGACTAAGCAAGGTCCAGAACTCAAGGCAATCACTGCTTCTCCTGACCAGCAACGCTGCACAACCAGCTACGGGTCAGCCCAAGACGGAAGGGAGCATTCATGGACGCGCGCGCGCGCGCGCACACACACACACACACACGTCAACATGAGCAAATCAACCCCAGGAATCACCCAACACCCTCGGCATCTCCCCCCCCCCAACACACACACACCACACACACCCAGCCACGCGCGCCCCCCAATCCCCGACCCACCTGGCTCCAGGATTTTCGTCGTGTCGCTGTCCAGCATCTCCATGGCGGCCAGCACGCCCCCCTCGCTCAGGAAGTGCTGCTTGCTCTCTGGGTGCCGCGCGAACAGCGACGACAGGCTGGCGCACGCCTGGGCGGGCGTCATGTTGGCGTCGCGCGCGCCGAGGCGCAGCGAGCGGACGAGGTCCCGGGCCTGCAGCATGGCAGCCGCGGCGGGGGCGGCGGCGTCGGCGCACGTGCGCTGGGGTCAGATCCGCAGCGGCGTGCGGTTGGGATTCAACCGGGCAAGCGGGTCCCAGCATGGAGCAAGGCAGCAGCTGAAGCAGCAAACGGGAAGAATGTGTTGTTATCAGCCGTATGTCAAGCAACCCCCCCCCCCGCCGCCAGGGCGCACCTTGCGCTTCGTCTCGATCTGGAAGCTGCTCTCCACGCAGCCCTCGCCGCCGCCGCCGACCGACGACGCGGATATGCTGTCCGTCAGGCTGACGGAAGACAGGGTCCGCCCGTACGTCTGCTGCTGCTGCTGCTGCCCCTGCGGCCCCCACCGGCCCGCCGTCGAGAGCGGGGACGGCAGGGGGTCAAAGCCGCCCTGGTAGCCGCCCGTATCAAGGTACCCGCCACCGCTGACCGCCGGGCCGCGCATGACGCCGCCGCCGCCGCCCTTGCCCGGCCGCTCTGCCTCGTCGAGCCACGCCGCCAGGCTGCTGCCGTAAGGGGCGAGCCGCGCGGTCGGCGTCGGCGCGCCGCTGTCCGCGCCCTGCAGGCGCGAGAGGAAGACGCCCAGGGCGCCCTCCCAGTCGCTGCCGCCGCCGTCGCGATCGCGATCGCGCGGTGATAGGGACAGGCCCCCGGGCGGGCCCGGCCCGCTGAAGGCCGCCGCCGCCGTCGCCGCGGCCGACGCCGCCGCCCGCTGCTCCCGCGACCCCGGCGGCGTGTGCTGCTGCGGCCACCCGCCGGCCCCGGTGCCGGGGCCCGCGGGCGGCGGCGGGGACGGGACGGAGCGCGGCGTGCTGCTGCCTGCCGGCCGCGCGGGGTCCTCCCGCCCCTTCCCGCTGGTGCCCGCGGCCGACCCCGAAACCAGCCGCTGCGCCGCCGCCGCCCCCGCCGCGGCGCCCTGAGGGGGCGGCTGCGCCGCCGTCGAGAGCTCGATCGCCGCCGCCCCCGCCCCGCCCCGCGGCGATGGCGACGACGCCGCGCCGCCCACCGCCTGCTGCTGCGCCTCTGCGAACCGCGACTGCGCCGCGGGCTGCGCCGGCTGCTGCTGCTGCTGCTGCTGGGCTGGCGGTCCCCGCGGGCTCGGCGGCAGCGGGAGCAGCATGCCGCTGCCGGCCTCCAGCCCCGGCGCGCCCATGTCCTGCTGCAGTGCCAGCGTGAGCGGCGTCTGCGTCGCCAGCGGGCCCGCCGCCGCGTCCGACGTGTACAGCGCGCCGCGCCCGCGCCCGCCGCCGCCGCCCCCGGGGCCGTCGTCGCCGGCCGCCGCCGCGTCCGCGCTGCCCAGCATTCGCTCAACGACGCTGGTGACCGACTCGTGCGCCTCTGCGGCGCCGCGGCCGCGCGTGCGGTAGCCCTGCGCGCGTGTCCAGCTGGAGCGCAGGGTGCGGCGGTTGTACTGGATCCACTCGTGCTGCAGCAGCGCGCGCGCGTCGGGGCGCGCGGCGGGGTCCTGCAGGAAGTGCGGGTGGGAGGGGCGCGCAGCCGTTCGCCCAGCTGCAGCGAAGCCGCCGCGCTTGACAGGTGTGAGAGCGGCACGTACGGCCCAACGGCACGGGCTCGTGCGGCGGCGTGCTCCGTTCCGTAAGCGCTGCCAGCTGCGCCGAGGCGTCCGCGCGGGCGCGCAGGTCAAGGTGCAGGGCAGCCCTCGGCGGCCTGCGACCACACACCTTCTGGAAGCACTGCAGCAGGAAGTCATCCAGCAGGGAGCTGACGGACTCCGGCAGCGGCGGGTGGTCGTCCTGGGAGAGGGGGCAGCAAGGCGGCGGCCCTCACGCCTCCGGCTCTGCTTTGCTTTCTACCCGAGGCCTTGCTGCCACGCTCCCCTCTATTCCCTGCGTTACGACCCCGATACTCTGTTGCCGCGCCCCTGCCGCCTAGCGCAGCCCTGCAGCCGGTCCCGGCCCCGCGCTGCTGCCACGCAAGCTGCAAGCTGCCATTCTGTTCGGGCCGTCCCGCGCCCCAGCAGACCTGCACGATCCTGAAGAGCGCGCTCATGGGCTGCAGATCGTAGTAAGGGGGGTAGCCGGTGAGAAGCTCCAGGATCAGGCAGCCCACTGACCAGATGTCGGAGGCTGCGGTGACTTGAGTCATCTCAATCACCTGCGGACAGCCAAGGAACAACCCAGAGGGCGCGGCGGTCGGCCGACGCTGCGGCGTAGCAGCCAAGACTGACCAGCGCTGTTCCGCCTGCTGCTGCGCTCATCACCAAGCTGCCACGTCCCTTCCTAGTAGCTGACGCCTCGCTCCGAGCGCCCTGCGCGCGCCCACCTCCGCAGCCATGCTGTAGCAGCACCGCAGCTTGCTTGCTCTCAGTTCACTGCTACATTCGCCTCGAAACACCAGCAGCTGCTCTCTGCTGCACGCCCTGCACCCCCGCCTGAAGTCCCTCGCATCACAGTCCCGACCCCTCTTAACCACCCCCGTTTACCTCTGGCGCCATCCAGTAGGGCGTCCCCACCACGTTCTGCTGCAGCTCGTCCCGACCATTCTCCAGCTCACCAAGCTTCGCCGCCACGCCAAAGTCAGCAAGCTTGACGAGGCCCTGCAGCGGCCCGAGATCGTGGCACCAACATGTACGGGTGCGTGGGCAACTCAAGTAAGGTAGGGGCTGGGGGTTCACAGCTAGGGTAAGTTTGTCATGCAGGGTTGCACTGAGGGCTGGTGGGTTGCTGGGGTAGTGCTGAATTGCACGTCCAGTGGCGCTGTATCACAGCGCCACCCCGTTGGGACGAAGCCTGCTGTGCACGCTGCCCGCCCGACGGACACCCTGCTGCCCGCTCCGCAGGCCCGCATGCGTTGCGCACTACTCTTGCACACCTCCTTTGTCGTCAAGATGTTGGCGCCCTTGATGTCGCGGTGCACCACACCCTGCTCGTGCAGGTACACCAGGCCCTGGAGCACCTGAGCGATGTAGATCGCCACTAGGCTCTCTGGGAAGACGCCGAACCGGTTGGGCTTGATGACGGACGACAACGAGCCGTTCTCCATAAACTCCAGGATGATGTACAGGTGCGTCCTCGTCTTGAAAGAGCCGATGTACTTGACGATGTTCTTGTGATTGAGCGTCTTCAGCAGGTCTATCTCGCCCATCACACTCTGCAAGTTTTCCTGGGAGACACCACTTAGAGATATCTGCTTGATGGCAACGACGTCCCCCGTGTTGGCGTCCATGCCCTTGAAAACCTGCCCATAGGCGCCGCGCCCCAGCTCCTCCCCTATCAGAAAACGATCGCTGAGGAACGTCTTCTTGCCCTGCATCCTGCCCACGCTGCTGCCCTGACTCGCAATTAGAACTGCTCCGCGGTCTTGCAGAGGCCGGGTGCCCGCTGCACCTAATTTATGGCCTACGGCATGTCGTATACACGCCCTTGAGGGCCACGGGACATCTCAGATCGTCCTGCCCAACAAACACAAGGCTCTTGATCAGCTGTGAGGTGGCTGAGGCGCACTGAGCGAGATATCTGTGTGCCTGTCAGGATTTTGAAGGCCGTTGCGTTGCTGCTTTCAATCGGTGCCCTACCAATCAGCGCACACCGGCACCCGGTGCCACCTGCAGCTGCTGATTTGCTGGCCCAAGCCACTGCCATGCTGTCACGGCGGACGCCGAGCCAAGGAGAGCCCACGTCGCAAGTGCTGCGTTCGCCTGCTGCACCTGCTATAAATGCATTGCCTTGGCGTAAGCTGGATGTCGTTACAGGTAGGGGTGAAGCACCTTGTTGTGCACACCGGGTGACAGCTGTCCACGCTGCCCGCACAAAGCCAGGATGCCCCACAGACGAGCATGGCGGCGGCGTGCCGAGCTTACAACTCAGCTGTTCAGGCCTAGCCGGAATATCAGCTCGCAGATGGGCACGCCCTGCCTATTCCTTCGCAGTCTGACCTGAGAACTTGCCTCATTGCTGCCCAGTTGCTGCACGCTATTGCTGCATTGCTGCTGACTGATCTTCCGCCGTGCCGCCCTCTACAAACTGAGTGATGTCAACCGGCTCAAAAGTACCATCTATAAGGGCAATGGATTGTGGGGGTCGGGTGCACAGCAGGATGGTAAGACAGGATGCTGAAAGCTAGTGCAGACCGTGGCAACTTTTATGCTGATAACGCAACAAAGGTGATACACACCACCTCCTCATGCCAGCCCATTGAATCAGCTCAGGGTGACTTATGACACCCTTGTGTGAACACAGCAGCACACGAGGCAAGCATAAAGACAGCAGTGCACGAGGCATGCGCAGGCACACCTAGTGAACGCTGACCCAGGCGGACGCACGACGCACGCTGCCACCGTGCCCGACGTCTGTCACCCAGCTGGCGGTGCTCCAGTCCCCAATCCCTGCATCTCTTGGGTTTTCCCCCTCTCACCCTCGTTTTTGTAGCACATGGCTACCACGTCATCGTTCTCAACCTTCAAGTCTGCCAGCTTCTTGGCATCTTCCAAAACAGCGCCATCCTTCTGCAGCTGCAGCGCGGCCGGATCCTGCGCGCGTGCATGGCGGGCGCCGGCCACGTCTCTGGTGGGCCCAGGCGCGGCGGAGAGCTGGCATGTGGGTGCAAGTCCGCCTGCCAGGCCGCCGTCGCCGTCATCGGCCGCCGCAGCCCGCCTGTTGCCGGAGGCTGACAGCTTGTTGCAATGCGTGTTCGAAATCTCATGCACGCAGTCACAGCCTTTGACCCAGGGCCGACCAAGCTCGTCACCTGATTGATGAGCGCCTGCAGCTTGGCCTTTACCTCCAGGACCGTGTCGGTCGCCTCTACTTGCAGGAACACTGTCACTTTCTTCCGCTTGCACCGTATATACATCCCCGCGGTCCCACCCTGTCCGAGGCAGCGAGAGCTCTAGTTTGCACCGAAGGGTGCGCCGCTGAGCGTGATCCAGCGGCTCGGAGCTCAGCGACAGACACGCGCGCCGCTGCTTCTGCCCCCGGTACTGCTGCGGAGTCAGGTGAGCCACGTGACCGCGCCAGCAAAAATCAGTTTGTACACTGCCTCTCAGTGAGGACCGGCAAGCACAGGACCAGAGGAGATCAGCGCTTGGAAATGATCTGTACAAGGTCTGAGGTCTGATAACCTAAAAAGAACACATGTATCCACAACACCGTAGGCCAGCGCAACAACGAGAAACAGTATAAGGCCCTCTGTTGGGATGCAAGAGGGCAGCACTGGGCATTCATAGAATGCTTGTCAGCAAGCCTTTGACTTTCGAGCCAGTGCGTGCACCTTTCAGTTGTATCGATTGATACGCTCATCATGGATACATATACGAGCGATCAGACCTTTCGCGAGACCGGCTCTACTCACCTACAGCATTTCGCGACACCCTTGCAGCCTTCTCTGAAGGCCTAGGATCGCGTGCATATATGTAATAGTTGCAGTCAGGCCGTGCACCGCGGACAACTAGCCGCTTGCGAGTGCGAGTCTCAGACAACAGCAGCGTGCTGCGCGTGGAGCGCACTGCAGCGCGGGATAATGGAGGACGGGACCGTGGACGACGGCAGCGAGAAGGCGCACCAGCAACTCCGCCGGCTGCTACAGGATGCGGAGCACCGGCAGTACATCGTGCCTTACGGGCAGACTGTGAAGGAGCCTGAGCCGACAGTGGCGGTGCCCTTGTCCGAGTACCGCGACCTGCAGGAGGTCGCCAGGCTGCTGCAACGCCACCCCCTGAAAGACCGCTTCGGCCGCAAAATTCCCGTCGTCCACGCCAAGCCGGCGCCGCCCCCGGTCCTCGGGGACGCGCCGGAGCCGACGCTGGCCCAAGTGGAGGCCGATATGATGGGCCTCTCGGCTGCCACCCACCCCCACCTCGCGGCGCTCGTCTCGAGCCTCATCAGATACAGCGCCGCCGCCGGGCGGCCGCACCCCAAGAACCCCGTCGCGCTCGTCCACGAGGCGGCGCATGCGCTGTCCTGCTGCCTCGACTACACGTTCGAGCCGCGGCCGGCGCCTGCGGCTGGCTTTGCCGTGTCGATCTCGACGCGACCCGTGCCCAACAACGTGCCGCAGACGCCCAGCAGGGAGCGTGCCAAAGAGGCGCTCGGCCTGCCTTTCCCCAGCACCGACGAGGCGGCCGCCGTGCTCGGCCGCGCCGCCGGCGAGGGGCCCAACAAGCGCGACGCCAAGAACGCGGCGTCGGCGGCGATGCTCGAGCGCGCGCTGGCCGCCAAGCCAGGGCTGGCGACGCTGACGTGGCGGGCGGCGGTCACCAACTTCCCGCTCGCGCCGGAGAGGTGGAGCGCGCCCCAGCCGGCCGGCGCCGGCGCGGGCGCCGCCGGCGGGGCTGCGGCGGGGCAGAACCAGGACGCGGCGCCGCCAAAGGAGAAGAAGACGCGGAAGCAGCAGCAGAAGGCGGCGCGGCTGGAGGAGCAGGAGGCAGAGCGGAAGAGGAAGGAGCAGCAGCAGGCGGGGGAGGGGCAGCGGGAGGGGGGCCAGCAGCGGCCGGCGCAGCCGGGCCCAGCAGGGCCACCGGCGGGCCAGAGCCAGCATCGGCCGGCTCCGGTGGAGCAGGAGGTTTTGCAAGAGGGCGACGGCAGCACAGACACCGACGCCGGCGGCGGCGGGGCCGGCGGCGGCGGCGCCGTGGCCGCGCGGCTCAAGGCGGCTGAGCTGCCGCTGCTGCAGCGGCACCTGCTCGCGCTCGCCGCGCGGCAGCCGGGCGCGCCGGCGCCAACGGCGCTCGCGCTGCTGAACCAGTACGCGCCCGCGGCGATGCTCGAGGTGGAGTATGCGGAGCACATCAAACACAACGGAACCAGTGAGCGGGGCTCGAGTTAAAAGGAAAGGCTGCGGTGTAGCGCTTGCTGCTTTTGGAGCGCGTGGGCGCGTCTCTGCACAAGTGTGCGGGGCTCACTCTGAGAGCGTAGCGCCCGCCATGCCCCCCTTGAGTCGTGCACGCATGGCACGTGCCTCGCCCCTCACGATGCCGCCCGCACCAATCAATACATGGCACCCGCGCAGCCGCCCAGACTTATGAGGCGACCGCCGTCGTAAGCACGCGCCTGCAGCGCCAGGAGGTCGCGCGCGGCGCCGCCTCGGCGCGCGGCAAGCGCGACGCCCGCCAGCTGGCGGCCGCGGACGCCCTGGAGAAGCTTCTCGCCGGCCACGAGGGCACGCGGCGCGTGGCGGATGCCGAGGAGTCTGGAGAGGCGGAGCGCATGCGGCGCGGCAAGCGCGGCGCGCCGCCGCGGGCCAGGAGCGTGCAGGACGCGCGTATCGATTACAGCCGGCCCCTGGACAAGCGCTTCAAGCACGGCGGCACAACGGAGGACACCGGCGGCGGCGACCAGCTGGTGCCGCAGCGGCAGAGGTGGGGCGTGGGATACGGCTCGCAGGCGGCGTGGCAGCAGCAGCAGCAGGTGGTGGCGCCTCTGCCGGCGCAGGCGGCCTTCCTGGGGTATGCCCATGGCGTCTCGCATGCAGCGCCGGCATCGGGGGCGGCGAGGGCGCCGATGGTCATGGTGTATGGCGGTGGCGCGGCAGCGGCGGCGGCGGCGGCCGAGAAGCAGCTGCCGTTTTACTCAGGCGCAGTCACTGAGGCGCCCGGCCAGCACGTGGTGCATCCGAGCCAGCAAGCGTATCCTCAGCAGCAATATCCTGAGCACCAGCAGCAGTATCCCCTGCACCAGCAGCAGCAGTACGCCCAGCAGCATTACCCCCAGCACCAGCAGCAGCAGTTCTCCCAGCAGCATTACCCCCAGCACCAGCAGCAGCAGTGCACCCAGCAGCATTACCCCCAGCACCAGCAGCAGTACCCCCAGCAGCAGTACCTGCAGCAGCCGCAGACCCAGTACCCTCACCAGCAGCAGGCCGTAGTGGCAGCAACACAGGGGCAGTGCGCATATACCGCGCCGGTGGGGGCTACGATGGGGTACGGCTCCTACTGAGTGCCAAGGCATCCATTTTTTTTGCGGCAGGGGATGGCAAGCGCAGTGGGAGACACATGAATGGGGCAAGGCCATGCCATCTGTGTAACAACATCGCATTGCTGTGATGTAATTGCTCGGCGAGTATGGGTTAGCGGGCTGCTCATGGCGGCCTGACTGGCCACAGTGCATCTTCAAGCGGGTGCCGCAGGCGGCTGGACATGCGGCCAGGCAAGGCGGGAGTTGGCCTTGTAATGTCTTTGGTCGCACCTCAGCGTACCACTACCAATGTGGATCAATCAACCTCACATGGATTTGGTGTGATAAAAGCAGATAATGCCAGCAGCGATGGGGCCCCAGCCGGGTGGACAGCCAGCCCTGCCTCCCGTGGGCCCCGACGAGCAGCAGCTGTCTGCGGCCGCTGGAAGCGTGGCTAGTGATGGGTGGCGTGCCATAGAGCGGCTGGCGGCCAGCGACGGGTCTTCTGGCGAGATCGAGACTATCGCGCACATCCAGGACATCTTCAGGCACTTTAGAGCGCTGCTGAGTGACCTGAAGATGGCAGTTGATGAGCAAGAGACGTGAGATGCCGGGGAGGAACCGGTGATCTGTCCCTTGTTGCAATCGGTTGGGGCCTTCAGGTTCAGCTGAGCATCCCTCTTGCTCGTCTTATGCAGGCCGGAAGAGCAGCTTCGGATGTCCCACCACTTGGCACACTACCAGGCCGAGTATGACAGGTGTGCACACCCATGCAGCATTGCAGCGGCGGGTTGGGTGGGCGCTGCAGGGGCCGCTGCCGATGCAGCGATGCATCAGCGATCAGCTCATGGCGGGCGAGCAGCTTAGGGACAAGCCTCAGTTGCAGCCCTCCTCAAGCTGTTGCCCAACCCGCTTGCAATGGCGCTGGGCAATCTGCAATCGGCAGGGCGCAGGAGGCGTTCAGGGATGCCAAGCTAGCGCTGCAGCGCACGCGGGAGCTGGCGTACATGCGGCAGGTGGGCGCGCACGCAACATTGGGCGCTGCTGCTGGCGGTCGCAAAACAACAGGGCCCTGCCAGACTGCAGGCCGCCTCTTTGCTGTCCCTCGTCCTCTCGTCAACGCATTTGAGGTGGAAGCCCCTGCCTGCGCCCATTGCCTTGTGATCCCATGCAACCGCCCCTCCCGGCCGCCCGCCCCCATCCTGGACAGCAGCGCGCCGAGCTGATCGGCTCGCTGGACTACTCGGCGCGGCAGCGCAAGTTCCAGTCAGAGCAGGAGCTGCTGCAGGGCCACGAAGACGTCACCGCGGCGCTGCGGCGGACGCGCCAGCTGATGATGCAGAATGTGGAGCAGCAGCACGGCAACCTGTCTGTCCTAGGTGCGTGCGCGTGCGCGAGCGCCGCGGCTTGGCACCTTTCCGCGCCCACCCACGTCGACACTCACAGCGCACTGGGCAAATTCCGCGGCTGCACCTCCTCGGTGGTGGCTGCCAACGGGCTTCGACCTTGCGTGACGCCTTCGCCACTCACCGATGCGCCCGTTGCCCGCCTGGGGCCCGCAGACACCACCAACGTGAAGCTGGCGAACACCCGCGACGAGCTGCAGGGGCAGAAGCAGGTTTTCAAGCAGTCGCACGGGCTGCTGGGCTCGCTCAAGCGCCAGGCGACAGCTCAGTGGTGCGCCACGCGTTGGGCTGCCCTCCGGCAGGGGGGGGGAGCAGCCAGTCTCACAAAGGAGAGTTTGCAGCCTGGCATGTCCTACGGGATGGGAGCTGTCGCCTTGCTCTGGCGGTGAATCGCTCGCCGCAGGGCGGGACTCCTCTGAATCCGAACTGGAAGCCACCGCCGAAACTGCACGCCCCGCAGGGTCTGGGTGTTCATCGCCCTGGGCATCTTCAGTTCCGTCGTGGTGTACGTCGGCATCAACCGCACCCCCGTGGCAGTGAAGGACGGCGTCATGGCCGCGGTGCGCTCGCCGCTGAGCAGCCTGGGCGCGCTGTTGGGCGGCCGCGGCGGGCCGCGCTTCGAGGAGGAGGAGCCCTGGGAAGACCAGTGGCCGGACGCGCAGAAGCCGCCGCCAGGGGAGCAGCGGTGGCAGCAGTGGCAGCGGGAGAAGGAGCAGCGGGAGCAGCAGCAGAAGCGGCCGGCGGACCCCTGGGAGGACGCCAAGTGGCTGGACGCCGACGCTCCCGGCAACGAGCGAGTCCAGAGGGAAGGCGGCCGCATCTGGGAGGCCGGCCGCGGCGCGGACGCAGCCGGCGCGGACGCAGCCGGCGCCGGCGGCGTGATCTTTTCGGCCCCGCAGCAGCAGCAGGGGCCGACGGGCGGCGGCGGCGGCGGCGGCTACGCGGGCGGCGCGGCGACTGACGTGTACAGCTGGCAGCCGGAGCCCGTGACCGAGCCCGAGCAGCCGGCGACGCCCCTGCAGGTGCCGAAGGCGCGAGGAACGCTCGACGACCTGCTGGGCCCGCCGGCTGGCGGCGAGCCTGCGCGCGGCGGCACTCCGCAGCCGAGCGCGACGGAGGCAGCCTCGGTGGTTGACTCACCCCCGCCGGCCGCGCCCAGCCCTCAACAGGAGGAGCAGCCGCAGGCGCTGAGCCAGGAGCAGCGGCGGAGGCTGGAGGACGAGGTGGAGCGGATTAAGGCTGAGTATGAGGAGCCGGCGCGGCTGCTGGTGCAGCTGCAACAGCAGCAGGAGCAGCCAGAGCAGCAGCTAGAGCAGCTGCAGGGCCAGCAGCAGCAGAAGCCCAACCTGTCATTGGAGCCTGAGCAACGGCAGGCGCTGCTTGACAGTGAGGTCGAGCGCATCAGAGCGGAGTACGCTGAGCCTGCACGTCTGATCGAGCAGCAGCTGCAGCAGCAGCAGCAGCAGCAGCAGCAAGAGCCAACAGCAATAGACGAGCTCGCGGCGACCCCGTCTGCCGGTGATACCGCGGCCGCGGATGTTGAGGCCAAGGCGGCCCCCACCTCACAGCCTAACTGGGATGGCAACGCACACGCGGCCCAGGAGGCCGCTACCAGTGAAGCAGCTTCCCGGCAACCTCCTTCAGTTGGAGAGGCAATCGCGGAGGCAGCATCGGCAGCACCGGCGGCTCCGCAGACACCAGTGGCTAAGCCGGCGACCCCAGTGGCATCGGCTGCTCAGGAAGCAGCCGAGGGTGCAGCTGGAGGGCAGGCGGCTCGGGAGGCTGTGCCAAACGATGAGGCGGCAGGCGATCAGGCTTCTCAGGAGGCGGCTGCTGCCGAGCCAGCACCAGGGGAGGCTGCAGTGGCCGCCACAGCGGCAGCAGAGGCCCAGCAGGTGGCCGGGGAAGCAGCAGCAGCTGAGCATGCCGTGCAGGATGCGGCACCTGAAGCCGAGGCGGCAGCAGGTGATCAATCGGCTGCGGTCAAGGCAGCCGCCACTGAGCAGGCAAGTCCTGAGAGTGCATCCGCAGAACATGCAGAGGCTGCGGCACCGGCCGAGGCTGCAGCAGGTGAGCACGCGGCTGGAGAGTCCACGCATCCGTCGCAGGAGGCGGCAGCCGCTATCGAGGCAGCAGCTGCTGGACAAGCGGCCCAAGAAGCAAGCGCAGCTGAACACGCAGTGCACTTGACGGCAGGCGATGCCGAGGCAACAGTGGCAAAGGAGGCGGCACAGGAGGCGGGAGTGGCTGCCGACAACGCAGCCCAAGAGGCTTCAGCAGCAGAACATCCGGCACACGACGCGGAGGCAGCCGCCAAGGAGGCAGCCGCCGAGCAGGCGGCGCGGGAAGCTGCAGCAGCTGAGCGGTCAGTGCAGGAGGCAGCAGCTGCTGCCGAGGCAGCTGCAGCTGAACAGGCGGCGCGGGAGGCGGCAGCTGCCGCCGAGGCAGCCGCTGCTGAGATGGCGGCTCAAGAGGCTGCAGCAGCAGAACGAGCAGCACAGGAAGCGGCGGCAGCGGCTGAGGTTGCAGCAGCTGAGCAGGCTGCGCGGGAGGCAGCCGCCGCTGAGAAGGCGGCTCAAGAGGCTGCAGCAGCAGAACAAGCAGCACGGGAAGTGGCAGCAGCTGAGCAGGCGGCGCGGGAGGCGGCAGCTGCTGCTGAGGCAGCCGCTGCTGAGAAGGCGGCTCAAGAGGCTGCAGCAGCAGAACAAGCAGCACGGGAAGCGGCGGCAGCGGCTGAGGTCGCAGCAGCTGAGCAGGCTGCGCGGGAGGCAGCCGCTGCTGAGAAGGCGGCTCAAGAGGCTGCAGCAGCAGAACAAGCAGCACGGGAAGCGGCGGCAGCGGCTGAGGTTGCAGCAGCTGAGCAGGCTGCACGGGAGGCAGCCGCCGCTGCCGAGGCAGCTGCTGCTGAGAAGGCGGCTCAGGAGAAAGCGATGGCGGAGCAGGCAGCCCGAGAGGCGGCAGCGGCGGCCAAGGCTGCAGAAGCCGAGCGCGCAGCCCTCGAGGCTGCGGCAGCAGCTGAAGCGGCTGCCGCTGCGTCCGAGCAGGCGGCTCGCGAGGCAGCAGCGATTGCCGAGGCCGCAGCTGCTGAGAAAAAGGCCCGGGATGCGGCGGCGGTACAGCCCCCCGCTCGCGAGGCGGCACCCGTGCCGGCTTTGGGAGTGCGTGCGCAGGCGCTCGAGGGCATCAAGCAGCGCCGGCACAAGGTAGCCTCGAGCCTGCTCGCGTCGCTCAGCGGCGGCGCCAAGCAGGCCGGGGCTGCGGCAGCCGCGGCGAGCGGCGACCCACTGCGCGTGGACCCAGCTGCTGTCCCATCGCGGCGGCTGCTGTGGGTGGATGAGGGCTCGCTCGACGGGCCGCTGGAAGACGAGCGGTCGCCGCCGCCCCCGCCCCCGCTGTTTCTGCAGGGGCAACGGCAGCAGCAGCAGCAGCAGCAGCAGCAGCAGCAGCAGCAGCAGCGCACGGGCAGCGGCTGGCGCCTCCTGCCGACCTTCCTGCCCGGCGCGGCCGCCGATTCTTCCGCGAACGCCCGCGCTTTCACAGCTCGCGCGGCCGCCGGGGAGCAGCGGTTGCCGCAGGCGGACCCGCTACAAGCGGATCTGCAGGACTTCCCCCAGATCAAGATGAGCTTGCTGCCAGGGGATGAGGAGTTTGAGGGAGCCCACGTTGAGGCGCTGCTGGCAGAGCAAGAGGCGGCGATGGCTGCCGCCGGCGACGACGAGGAAGGCGCCGGCGGCTATGCCGAGGCGGGCGCGGCCGGCGACGACCTGGACGAGGAAGTCAGGCGGAAGCTGCGGGCGCTGCGCTTGCGGCGCGGCGGCGGCGGGGAGGGCGGCGCGGGCGGCGACGAGGACGACGATGGGGATGATGGGGATGATTACCCTTATGGGGAGGATGATCTTGAGGGGGACGCGGATGACGACGGGGCGGAGGCCACAGGGCGACAGGACAGAGACGGTGAGCTGTAGCCTTGGATGGCGCAGGTGTGCAGACTGCCGCAGCATGCGCCTAGCCGCGCTGTTACTAGCTGCACTGTAAATTCAATCTTGCATGCCTTTTCCGGCGGCAGGATGTTAATTTGCAGCTATGTTCGGCCTTGCGCGCCAACGGTCCATATGATGGAGCCCGGTTGGGGCAGCCAGGGTCACAACAGACGCATGGTGCACGAACTACACAGACCCTTCAGTAGCTGAAAAAGCTGACGCGGACCACAAACACCAAAGTCAGCAGCTCCAGCGCCGCCGGCAGGCAGTTGAACAGAGCAAACGAAGCGGCCAGCGCCCCGAGGGGCAATGCCTGCGGCATTTTGGTGGGGGTTGAGCAGCCCAACAACGGTCAGGCACGGGGCTGTGCTCAGGTGCCACCTTCACCGCTGCACGACGCTTCTCATGCATGCATGCAATGCCCCAGTCCTGCCCTTCTCGCTCCAGAGGCTTCGGCAAGCCAGAGAGCTGACTCGGCGGGGGTCATCACCTGTGTGTAGAACAGGCCTGTCAGCACGGCGCCCGCGAAGTGCAGCAGGATGTACAGGCAGGTGTGGCCACGCATGAAGATGGAGGCGCCGGCAAACAGGCCCAGGTACTCGACCGCAAAGCACGCCACTGACGCTGCCGCCAGGCTGCGCAACCTGCCACACGAGGGATTTCAGCAATTGGTTGGCGGACGGCCGCAGGTGGAATGCTCGGCGGTGCGATGAGCGGCGGGCACGCAGCGGCAGTCGCACTGCCCGAGCAGCTGTTGCCCCACCTGGCTCTGGTCTCCACGAACTGCGGCTGCGTGTACAGATCAGCTTGGGTCCCGTCTGCCAGCAGCAGATGGCCGGTCAAGGTGTCCTGCGACGGAGGCGCGATGATGGGGAGGGGGTGGGGGTTGCACAGTGCGCAGCGCCTGCTGTGCAACAAGCACACACGGCAGCAGGCTGGCCCCTAGCTGTTGCGCCTTTGCAGTGGCGAATTTTGCTTGGTTTCAAATAGAATTGTACCAACTTTTTCCCAAAAGCAACCTCAGTGGAGGTGGCCCGCAGGGCGCCGCCAGCTCACCAGATCAAACAGCAGAGTGACAACAGCTATGAGATGCGCTGTTGTCAACAAAAACCGCAACGGGAGAGTGACCTGCGCATGAGCGGCGCCCCGTGCGCGGCATGTCAGGAGTCCACAGCGGCTTGCTGCGCATGGTGGGCGGCCGAAAGCGAGCCGTACAGCCCCTTGTGCGCTTGCCCATTGATTACCGCAGAAATCAGGTCTGTACCGCCCAAGCGCCCATTCAACCCATCTGTGTGCTCTTGCTACATATTTCACCCCTGTCCCCTGCCTGAAACTTTGTTATGTTACCAACTAAGTCGCGTACCTCTTCTGCACGGATGTACCCCATCGCTGCTCAGTGCAGCGGCACGCTGCCTTCGCTCCAGGACAGCTGCTGAGCTCGGAGCGCTTGCAATGCAGCAGTGGCAGCAACAGAGCGGCCCGCACGCAGACCAGCTTAAGCTGTTACAGGCACTACTATCAAGCGAATCGCGTTGGACAGCGCTGCGATTCGGACGGGCACACAATCTGTTGACCGATCTGTCTTGGCAGAAAATGATGCCTCGATGGCGTCTACTAAATTTACACGGCTGCACACGTGAAATTAGCGGCTCATCACACGGTGAGAAGAATGTTTGATCTGGATATCTATCACTCTCGCTGCAGAACGGTACCATACACAATTCAGATTGTAACAAACGTAATTAAATTCATAGCATAAATCCTTGTGTGTATCGTTGCAACCAGTCATGTGGGTCTGAATCGGGCTCGCGGGGGGGCGGGTGGGGCGGCCCTGCAGGTTGACTAATATGCACTGGGACGAGATTTCTTGGGGCAGGGCAGAGTGGCCAGTGTGCCGGCAGGATGGCGCCGCTGCCGTCTTACTGTATCACACATATCAAATGACATTCAACGGCGGTCGACCATGTATACCGATGATTAGGAGTTACGCCACAAACTATGATTACGCTTGGAATACAACAGGGAGGTTGATAGCTATCAGGGATGATTCAACAGGGCCTGCCCAGCATTTCACTATGCTTGGGATTATGAGAAAGGCGAAACCATGGTCCTGGCTGGGTGTGGATAGATGCAGCCACAAGCAGTCCAGCCGGCACTGCACCAAACAGTGCGAATGACCTGGTACTACAGGCAATGGTTGTGCCTACCTGGGCCGGATGCAAGGCAGGGGTGCTGACGCATGTGCGCATGGGGTCTAGGGGGGCGCTGCCGCGGAGAGATGCCGTTAGGGCCTGGGGAGTGATGAGCGCGTGTGCGTGTCGCCAGCTTCCTTGCGCTGGCGCAGTGAAACTGAAGCCATTGGTCAATGCAAGCGACGACTGCATCCGCATGGCACGTTGCATACAAGTGGATCAACTCTGCCACAGGGCGGCAGGGGCCCCCGTGCGCCAACACAGCAGCAACTAACATTGTGCTGAAGGTAGGCGTGATTGGTCGGAGTCCACCCTCCCACGAACATCAACCTCTGCAGCACGAGGGAAGCAGCAGTGGATCCTACTGTAGCGGCATTGTAGATCAACGGATACCAGGTGATTAATTTCCTCTTTAGCAGGCCCATACCCGCGTCCGGACTTCGGCGCTACGCGCGCTTGGCCCGGGCGCCGGCGGGTGTGCGGCGTGGTCACTCATCGAGAAATCCGCGCTTTCATCCTCGGGCAGCGCCAGACACCATTGTATTTTCTCTGCGGTAGTTGGACGCTTTCGTCCATAAAGAGTGCAGCTCGTGCACGGCGCGGGTGCAACCTCAACACGCTCAAAGCCAGATCGCCCGATCGCTTGATCGCTGCCAGAGTGCCATTGAGCTCTGCCATGATGTTGGGCAGTGCCATTGGGCGTCGTCCGGCCCTTGCCAGGGGTCGCTGCGCGCTCGCGAGGCCGGCTGTCCCGCGGTCCCAGCTGCTCCGCAAGCCGGTAGCGATCAGGGCTGTTTCGGAGGCGGTGGCAAAGCCGGGAGCGATCAAGGTTACTGCGGCCAACGACGCGGACGATGACCTGACGGTGAGCACGCTGCTAGGGCTCCGCCAGCCTCTGCGATCTGCTCGCGGGGCCGGCGCTCACCTTGTCCCTCGCTCGCGCAGGTCATATACCTTTCGGGCCCGGCGGCTCCTGGGCTTCAGACGAAGCTCAAGCAGGTCTTTCACGACCTGAACGTGGACGTCAAGCGGCACGACGTCAACGGAGGCGTGGACTCCGGCACCCTGGAGGACGTCTTCTACGTCAAAGGCCCCAAGGGCAAGCTCACCGATGGAGAGATCAAGTCTGCAATCACCGTGCTCGAGGGCATCGTCAAGACGCAGGCGGCGGCCGCGCGGTCGGGGGTCCGCCCCAAGTTTCAGACCCAGACGATTGCCCCCGACCCCGCCAAGCGCGAGGTCCTGTATGCCATCATGGGTGGGTTTGTGCGCGCATGGGCTGGTACGCGGCTCGCGCCCGCGGCTATGGGGGCGCTGGCAGGGCGCTGGCCCGGGATTCGGTTGAGGGCGGTTGGCAGCCGGCAGCCCCGCGCGTCTCCCCCGAGGGACCGTCTGTTTTACGGCACACAGGTCGGGCTGCCGAGGGCCTAGCTTGATGTCCGCTTTGCGCCTGGGCCGCAGCTTGACACGCGCAAGGGCGGGGGGGTCGCTCGCTGTCCCGCCCTAGCTGCTGGCCCCCGGCATACGCCGCGCCGCCCCCACACGTGTCGCGCCGCGCGCACCCCGCGCAGACAAGTACAAGGAGAACGACGTGATGACCATCCAGCAGGACATCGCCGCGCACGTCGAGTACACGCTCGCGCGCACGCGCCAGGTGCGGGCGGACGGCAGTGGCCCGCCCACTTGGCACTGCTGGGCGCTTGCACTGTGCAGGGATCCTGTTCTGCGGTGGCAGCAGTGGCCAGGACGGGATGGTGTCAGCAGGCCGGTGTGCTGCTTTTTTCCCTCAACCAGCGTCCCAGCAGGCCAGGGCGTGGCTTGCGGGGCAGCTGGTCAATTGGACGCTTGGCCCTGCGCCACCGCGCCTTCGAGGCCCTGGCAGCCGTCGCCGCCCCGGCCCTGTCCATTGCAGCGCGTGGCAGCGGGGCGATGGGCTGGTCGCCAGAACAGGACGGGCGGCGGCGGAACGCCGCACGACCCTCCACCCTGGCAGCTGCCCCACAACCGCGGCACACCCTCTTGTGACGCCCACCCCGCGGCGCCCCGTCGCCCTTGCTTCATCCTAGGACTTTGCCAACAACGAGTGCTACCAGGCCGTGTCTTACAGCCTGCGCGACCGCCTCATCGAGCTCTGGAACGACACCCAGACTTACTTCAAGTGAGAGGGGGCGCCGGGGGCTGCTGCTTTTTTGTGGTGTGGAGGAGGGGGCGGATCTGTTGCCACAACAGGAGGATGGGCAGTGGCTGGAGGCGACCGGGCTTGCCCCCTTGAGAAACGGGAGCCGCAGCGGCAGGCGGGCGGGCAGCTGGGGATGGGGTCGGGCCAGGCGGGTCGGGCAGCCCGGATCGGGCGGTGCGACCCCTGGGGCGGCTTGATGGGCAGCAGGCTGGGGGGTAAAGTCGAAAGCGGGTGGCTGGTGGCGTGAAAGGTCGCGCAGTTGCGCCGGATGACTGCAGTTGCGTCGGCGTGGCGCCCTCGCGGCTGGAGAAACGTGGCGGCAGCGCAGCGCCCGCTTGACGCTGCCTCCAGAGGCGACCAGACCCCGCACTGGCGGGCGGGCGGGCGAGCAAACCTCCTTGGTGTAACCCACCGGGACTGCCCACCCCTGCTCCGTCCCAACCTAACGCCCACCCACCCCTGCTCCCCCTTCCCCTCTCCCCCCTCCGGAACTAACAATTCAGGGAGCAGGACCCTAAGCGAGTGTACTACCTGTCCATGG